CCACCCCTCGTCAACCCGGACGCGCTACGTTCTTCAACCCACGCAACAACGAAAAACAGCTGACGATTATCAACTTTTCGATGACGCAACCGACCACCCACCCACCCACTCGCGCATGCGCACTGACGGTACCCATCGGCCCTGTTCTCCATCTTGGCTAATAGACAGCGACCCTAATATCAATTAGTATTAGCATCACCGTTACATCCATCTCTATCAACTGTCTCGAAAAATTCATCTCTACGTAGTTAACACTGTCATTAGATTTACGGTTAGAGTATCACTATTAATATTAATATTAATAATATCCTCAATATCGTTTATTTTGGCTTTTAACTACACTGTCATCGCGGTATCCACCGACGTCATAATCGGAAGCGCGCCGCACCCCTGCCACGGGGTGTACTCGTCTAGCTGATGATCGCCGGTGGCTAGGGCCTTAGCTTCCGGTTCAGAAAGACATCTGAACTCGTGAAAGATCTTAGCGCGTCAGGGTGTCGCAAATGCGAAAGGAAAAAAAAAATTGAGAAAAAAGAAATAAGGGCAGCGGGCCAGGACGATTCTCCATTTGTTAAACGACTTTCCACCCCCACCCTTCTACCCTAGACACACGCAATTTCGAACTTTTGGACCCAACCCGCCCTCTGCCCTTTAAATAGAGGGAGCCAGCCCTTCCAACTCTATATAACTTATTTCGAACAAGCTGGAAGTCTCGCTCCCGTACGAAGTGTCATCCTCATCCTCGGCCATTCCATGCACCCACATTACAATACACTTCCAACCCCCCACCAACCCTACTTCTCAACCCCAGCACGTTTAACAACCCTCCAGCTAAAAACCTTTTCACCTCGGACTCGAAATCCCAGTCCAAACAAAAACCCTTATAAACCCGAACCTCCGACTCTACTGTTATTATTCTATTTTAATATTAAATATAACTATCATATTATTATTATTATTATTATTATTATTATTATTATTAATTATTAATTATTAATTATTATTCCATTACTCCGTAAACTCACGTGAGATGACGATGTTTTGGTGAACGATTATTGTATTTAATTGAATTGATCGATGTAACAATAATTACGTGAGCAATGAGATATCGTTGGTTTCCATTTTTTTATTTTTTATTTTCATGAAATCCATTAATCATAAATCCCCTTTGTCCTGGGTTTAATCCTGCGGGTACCAACAATTCCGTATTTATCGGCCGGATTGTAGGTAGTGAGTAATTTAACGGATAGGGGGGGGGAGTCATTCTTTGTTCGTGATTAACGATTACGATATTTTACGTTCGACGCGCTGCTGAAGATAAGCGGCTAAACGGGAACGATGTTGTAAAGAGATTGATTAATAAAAAGCATTCAATTGAGTCAGAAATATTAACCATATGATGCATTTAGCATTCCCGGCGTTAAGAGTCATGCGTATGTACGGGGCTAGGTAGGTATCATGGTGGACATGATAATCGAGTGCATCCGCTGAGAGATAATAAACATCAGGCTTGAAAATGAGAAGAGAATGTGCGACAGTAAGTAGAATTGATACAGCGAGACGTGGTAGAGTAGAAACGGGTACAGGGGGTACATAACAGAGGGATACCGACAAGTATTGGGAGGTCTTGCGACAAGATTATGAAAAAGCAGCGCTATGACTGTTGAGAGGTAAAAAGACTGTGAGGTAAAGAATAAATATTTCTTGCACAGAGTAAATGATAAGAAATTAAAGAGACAAAGAAGTAGAGAGTGTATCGTAGGAGAGAAATCGATAGTTGAACGACGATTTTGCCTTTGGTGGACAAGGGGCTGATGATGGTGACCGATCGGTGGTATTAGCTATGCTAAAAGTCATCGTGGAATGGAAAAGAACGTAAAGGTCAGATATAGGTTTGTCTCTGGATCTGTGGGTAGGTTCTTGTGTGGATGCAAGGAAAATGTCAAGGCGCGCCTGCTGCACAACGTGATTCGCGATGCCCTTTTTATGTGGGACTTATCGTTTCTGGAAAAACTGCTGATCGTACGATACTTATGGATGAGAGAAACGTGAATGGAAAATTGTTTATTACTCTAGGAATGTCTACACGTCATATAGTGTATATTGAGAATCAATACCAAAGCTTCCGTGGCGCAATTGGTTAGCGCGTTCGGCTGTTAACCGAAAGGTTGGTGGTTCGAGCCCACCCGGGAGCGACTTTTTTTTATTTTTTTTTTAACTCCTTTGAACCTCACTTTTCTGACGCAACGGCATTGTCATTGCGTCATAGGGACTGGTGTCTTTCACGTTACGAACGTAAGAAATTCAATGTGGAAAGTTCATTCACGCGGTATCTATAAGCAGTGCTTGTTAAACCGGTAAATCCTTTGTTTGTGTATATAAAATAAAATCTTTAATCCCGGATGATGGAGCAGAGAAACTTTTTATATTAAAATATATATCTATTTATTATTTTGATGGATGTATTAAATACATTTGAACAGTGTCTTTAGTTTTCTGATGAAGTTTTAAAAAAAAAATCGACTTGACCCCGACGTGATTTGAACACGCAACCTTCTGATCTGGAGTCAGACGCGCTACCGTTGCGCCACGGAGTCGTATACGTTCAAAACAGTCACGCTAGTCATACCGTCGCTATTCGTCGAGCAGTAATATAATAATTTTATCAGTAGAAATACTTGGTCTAGATGATAAGTTAACGAAATTTGCGCAAGTATTCGTAAAACGCATTTACCCACCTGATTGGTTAGGAGGAAGCATGCTAAAACGCCAAGGGACCACCAGTCCACCTTGTGTCCGTAATATTCACGTTTTACTATCTCAGGAGCTAAAACAATATCCGAAAAAGGAAACATAAAACTTAGCTAACCTAAATCTTTTATACTAAAAATTCAAAGCGTTACCCATATATTCAGGTGTGCCGCAAAATGTGTTAGTTCTTTGGGTTGGACTTAGCCATTTGGCTAATCCGAAATCTATCAGGACTGCGTGTCCCTCGTCGTCCAGAAGAACATTCGTTGCTTTCAGATCTCTGTGCACAACTCCAGCATTGTGTAGAAAATCTTGAAGGTGTTATGTTTCTTTTAATATATTTCAGTCAAAATGCACATATTTTTATGATTTGTAATGCATACCAAGCGCCAGGCCGATTTCTGCAACGTAAATTCGTACCATGTCCTCTGACAGAGAACCATATTCTTCGACCAATGAGAATAACTCTCCACCACCAATGTATTCTGTCACTACAATCAATTATATCGATACAATAAAAATATTTACTGTATATTTATTATGAAACTGAAATGCAATGTATTCTTAGTTTACTAACACAGATACAATGTTTTTCTGCTCTGCCAATGATACGGAGAATTTGCTATGAATGGATGATGGCCTACAGCCCTTTGTATTGCAACCTACAATCACAGATTATAATCTATACAATTAATTAATATGTTATTTATTAAAATATTTACCTCCTGTTTTGCTTGACTAACAGCATCTTCTGCCACAATGCGTGCTTTGCTTACTACCTTCAAGGCATATATTTTGTTAGTATCTATCTTTCGAACTTTGTACACTCTTCCATATGCACCCTTGGAAATGATATCGATAAAAGTATATTCAGACTTTAAAGATTCTCCTCTAACTTGAAACTCAGGGAGAAATAAGGCTTCCATGCGAGCCACTGGCCAGGCTGTTTTTGCACAACATAAAGGGTCATTTAAGGTACCCTCGCTCCACCTAAATAAATACAAAGCAATCATTATCAATCGTATTACAATTGTACATATTATTCTAATACCTTCTTCGTGAGACACGAGACCATGGTCTAAATTCCTCGTATAGTTCATCTGTTGTTCCACTGCAACTTCCACCAATGATATCACTACAACTGAACTAAAATACAAAAAAAAGGACCAAACATATTGGATTTTAAAACCAAACATATTCACAAAGCTGAAATATATAAGTCAAATATTATCCCATAAAAGACCCATAATTGCCATGACAGCAAGGTTAGAATATCTTCAAGATAAATTACCTGGCTTGCATATTTTCCATGGCTGTGACGACGTCTCTTATTATTAGAATTGCCCATACGGGTTCTGAACTTTTTTAGAATTATTTATCCACGTAAAATACTGTACATATAACACGCGCAACAGGTATTTCCGTGCTTCAAAAGATGTAACATTCCTCGCTTAATTTTCTAAACGCACCACCTCATTAATGCACGAGCTGCGTTCTTGTGATATGCGCAATTAATTAACACTCGTCTGAATAATTCTTCTCTCATTTATAGATCCCGCGGTTAGACCGTGCCCATTACACGGCATAAAAAAAATTATGAATTACCTCACAGAAAAGACAATTAATACTTATTTACGAAATGTAATATTTATGCCAATACTGTTACCAGCTTTCAATATCCACCTAATTTACGATCAATAAATAATACTTGAACATTAAATATTATATTTGTTTAATTATAGAATGTACTACAGCGCCACTCAATCCCACTCTTTCATACAACATCCAACAATTTAAAATAATCATTTAGATACTTTTTGCAAGATGAAAAATAAAATTTATGCCGTAATCCCAACCAATGTAAATATTATTCTTCTAATAAATATGCTGCTGGTAATCAAGAATAACGTAGATATTGAAAAGTAAAAGATATGATATAGTAGACGGTTTATATTTATATTAAGCCATATAAGATAAATGGTTTCTGTCGGCAGGCGTTTCTTCCATTACTTTATGAACATCCTAAATGGGGGACATGTTCAAAATCTCTTAAAAGTGATTCAACAATAGGCTTTTTCAATAGTTTTCAAAGAGTTCTGTAGCTCCTGATATGTTTTAACAATAGTTCTGCTACGTAACATCGGTAAAATACCTATTAAGGATATTAGCCGCACCATACGCCTCAGGGCAGGTATGCATAAGGAACTGGCTTTCAGTGTTGTTTTCAGATTGTTTTTCAAACAGTTCCAGGATAGTTCTACCTAGTACTCAATGTTGGGACCATAGTTCCGCTTGGAACTATTGTTAAATAATGCTGGAAACTAGCACCGCATCACTGCACTTGTTAACTCAGGCAGGCACGAGGTGCTGGCTTTTGCTTAGTAAATCTTATCAAGTTTACACTGTGCACTCAAATTTAAGATTAGGAAAAAAAAAAATTTTGGTAATATCTGATGAGCGGCCTCGTTCTAAGGGTTGCTCTAGAAACCAGCGGTAAGTTTCGGAAAACCTCTGCCGGCCAAGCTACACGTAGTGGTCACGTTCAGCTCGGCTTCGACGGGACATGCTTTATCGACGGAGGCGATGATCACTACATCCTACTCCCGGATTCGCCGCTACATTTTAGCGCCATGTTTTTGGTATCGCCTAAACAGAGATGAGCAGGGAGATATACAACGCTCCGGTTTTCGGCGATACCAAAATCATGCCGCTAAATCGTAGCGGCAAGTCTGGAAGTAGGATTCTGAGATCATCGCCTCCGTCGACAATGCAAATCCCATCATAGTCCAGCTAAACGTGAACACGAACGCGTAGCTTGGCGGGCAGAGGTTCTCCGC